GGCTTCTACCACTATTTTTTTTTTTCATTACATTAAGCAATGGTGCATCTTTTTGTTTTATGTTAAATGACAGTACGTGAATGCTTTTTTTTTTTTTTTTAGTGTTAATTTTGTTATGTTTTTTTTTTCATCTCTTTTTTTCTCTTTTTTTCTTGTTTGGCGTAGTAAGGGAGAAGTAAAAAACTAGTCCAGTACTTTGTTATTATTTGAGTTTAATTTTGTTATGTCTTTTTCTTTGGCGTCCTTTTTTCTTGTGTTTGTGCGGCTAAGATAGAAATAAAAAGCGATTTTAGTATTTTATTATTATTTAGGTTGTGCTCATTTAGTTCATTTGATTACATCAGAACTGAATGGTCTTTAAACAAAACGTTGCGGATCGGTTAGAGTTGTTTAAATTTATTAGTTTATATTTTTAAAAATGAATCTTTTTTACTTGGTATGAGAATGTATTTTATCCTTGTAAATTGGAATAATAATCTTTAGATCTATTTTATTTCATGTGTTTTTTTATATATTTTAATAACTTTTTGGGATATCTTGTATTTAGTTTAATTAATATTATTTGCTTATAAAAAAAAATAGACGCATGATAAAATTGATTATCACATTCTCATTAAATAATGATATAATACATTCTCATTAAATCTCTATTTAAGGAGTAAAATATTTGTATGAATCCACCACCTTCTCACTATTTATCTTTATTTATAAAAATCAAACTTCTCACTATCTATCTATACATAAGAAACAAAACATTGTTGATACATATCACTGTAACAAAATCATTCTACATTTCTTCACAAACATGACATGCACATTAAATTCTTCATTCCTCTTAAACCACTTTCTTTAACATCACCGCCGCCATTTGTATAGTGTGGGAATATCCTATCACTTACTTAGACACTTAATGCGTCTTTTATTTATATATATATATATATATATATATATATATATATATATATATATATATATATATATATAATTTCATTTAAAATTATTTGACTTTAAATTGAATAAAATAATGATTTGTGTTAACAAATAAATAATGATCAGGCCGCTACTTATAATATTGAGAATATTTTTGTTAATGGTCTGCATAAAACTTGGATTGAATTCTATGATGATACAAATGGTGTCTTAAAAATTAGAGAAAGATGACCTTAAGATACGATAAGATAACGAATGTGAAAATAAACTCGTTAAATTATACACTAATCATAAAAAAAAAATTCATTGGTATATTTTTATTCCTAATAATATTAATTTTGAATTTTTTTAAATAGATATTTTTTTTAGATTAGATTTCGATAGGTTTTCATATATATATATATATATATATATATATATATATATATATATATATATATATATATAAGTAAATTACAATACTTTACAAAATTTTCAAATTACATTTTAATTTTTTAACATTATAAAAAGCGATAAGAATGATAATGGGAGACTTACATGTATTAGTTATTGACTACAGGGTGTATCTAATTTTTTCCTGGTTAGATAGTTAGTGACAAGGTATTCGCATTGACAAAACAATATGAATTATTTTATCCTCGTAAATATTTATTAATATCTATGAATATGTTTTAAATTTAAAATATTTGTTTTGGAAAGGTAAATTTAAATAAATTTTATCTTAAAATATGATTTAAACAAAATTACATCATAAAATACTAGTATAAATAAATTTATTTAAAAAAAACAAATTTAAATAATTTAACATTTTAAATAAAAATAATATTTTAAGAAATAATTTGAATTTCATAAATATAAATAAAAATATAAAATTATAAAATAAAAATTTAAATAATTCCTTAATTATTAATATTTTATCCACCAATCACTTAATTCTGAAAAAATAAATTAAGTAAATATTATTTCCGTACCCCCTTCAGGAAAATACCTATTTATATTCATTACAACTTTTATCAACATGTGTCTACCCGGATACAGATTTTTTCTTTTGTTCTTTATCTAAAGGTGTTAGTATAATATTTTTAAAACGTGTATGTATTATCATGAAAAAAAAACAAAATAATGTTTTTATATTTAAATTAAAGAACTAGTGTAATTTAAAAAATCAGAATATCACAATAATTTGATAAAATATCAAGTAAGTAATTTATTCAATAAAATAATATGTTGATCTTTTGCTACTCTGTACTGTGCAGACACATAGGAAAGTAGACAAATGTTAGCAACTAGTAAGGTTATTTCCACGGGAGATACTTAGAATAATTTTTAAAAATAAAAAATTATTATTTTAATATGATTTTTATGTATAAAATTGTTTTAAGAAAAATGAAAGTTATTTATATAAATGATTTTTACTTATTTGAACTAATTTCACACGTGACACTCGTCAGCAAATTTATTTTAATTTCGCTCCGGGCATTCGAGCTTCCAGTTCCAATCAGCGTTTCCTTTCACACAGCATTACTGTTAGCTCTTGCTTTGGCCCATCTTTGTTATTTTATGTGGGCTGACATGCATGAATTATTTACGAACTCACTTCTATTGTTATGATAGCCCAATTAATTGACCAATAACTGAAATAACAAAAACGAGTTTAATTTCATATCAATAGAAATATTTATTTCATGTTAATTAGTTTATAAATATAGATTTCTTAAAATTCAAAAACATAAACAATTTTCTTCAATTTTAAGGAATTATGTTTATTATAATTTTGTTAAGTTTATATTATTTGTATTTTGGTCACTTTTATATCAGCAAGGTCTCATCTGGTTTACACACTACTTCTCAAATCACGATTGTTTCTCTCACTTTAACAGGTTTGGAGAACAAACTATGCATAAGGATGTTTTGATGAAAGATCTATTTATTATTGGATGTTCACCATTGATTTTGTAGTAAAATAATATATTATTAATAAATAATAAATAAATATAAAAGAAAGAAAGAATATGAAAAATTTAAAAGATAAATTTGTAGTTAAATAATATATTATTAATAAATAATAAATAAATATAAAAGAAAGAAAGAATATGAAAAATTTAAAAGATAAAATTGTAAATATATACTTAAATATATTAAATGATTATTAAGTTTGAGAAAAATAAAATTATAAATTATATGAAAATAAAAGAATTAAAAAAATAAAATTATAAATATACAAGTAAATATATTAAATATTCATCATGATTAAATACATCACAGTTATAAAATTTTGATCCACCGGAGAAGATCGGTCACTGTTCAGCATTGACAAGTGGAAACCAACTTACCACTTCAAATGGTCATCCCTGACTTGTAGCATGAAAAAGTAAGCCTTATTTAGGTGATGATACCGATGAAATATTTGAGGTGTCATCCTCTGTTTCATGGTTGATAAGCAAGACATTTGACTTGAGACTTAAGATCACAGGGATTACTACGAAAAGTTACTGAGATGTATTACTAGTATTTTCATCCTTAATGTATTACTTAGATTAATAAATCTAATTAACACATGAAGATGTTAACCAAATATAAAGATCTTGACCATACATAAATATGTAATAAATCTAATTATACATATTATATATATTAATATTGTTATTATTATAATATTTAAAAAATAATAATAACATCTGTATACAAAGGACAAAAAAGAAAAGTGGTATCTAGTTTTATTTTTAAACGTGGGTAATGCAATGAAATATATGGATGGATGAAGATAACATCAAAATATTGTATAAAATATCTACCTGCTGAAGCATGCCCCTACTACTAGTGAGAGTAAACTTTGATCTTATCCTTATAAACTTCAAACTTATTTAATGATTAAGATGGTACGGATACATTCATAGCAACTTTATATTTCATATAACATAACAGCCTGGAATTTGACATTACGGGGCCAGTCCAAAATCGCCTTTCGGTGGGACTTATGTGATATGAATAACGCAGCTTGCTTAATACACGTTGCCCCCATAGGATCTTTTACATATATTTTATTATTACATAAACTCATTTTATAATCTCATCCAATCATTTATGTATATTCAATTTTTTATTTTTTTTATAATAACTATTTTTAAAATTATATTAAATAATTTATTGCAAACTATGTTTATTATAAAGAGATTTTTACTCATTTTACTTATCCAAATCATATATTATCATAAACATAAAATAATTTTTCATATCGATATTATCTATTTTAAAATCTTATTCTTCGTTTTTTTGTTTTAAAAAATATTTTAATAAATTAAAAAATTAATATATATAAATTATTTTTTATTTTAAATGACATGAGACTAATAAATATACTTATAAAAATAACCTATAATAATATATTTATTAACAAAGTTGTCCTATGATATATCATAACCTTATTATTAATCAAGAATAGATAATATTTATAAATCTAATGACTCTCTTCAACTCTATCTTAATTGTTTATATATCATCATACACATTTTAATTACTCGACAAATAAATGATTTTCATTGAGTGACCAAATTAGTAAGTATAAGATTTGAATGTCTAAGTAAAAGAATCAAGAATACACCAGTCTCCATTGCTCTCAACGGGCTTCTATATTGTTGAAAAGTTACGAAACCAAGGCAAAAATCATGATTATCGTTGGACACAATGACCAAAGATGATGTGGGAATGAACTATAGTGTCTAGAAATAAGTCTCAAGTCTTCAATTGATGATGATCATATACTCACCAAATACTCTAATTGAAATCCAACAGTTACCTATATAGGCATGTTTCCTTTAACCATTTGCTAACATTTTCTTACCGGAAGGATTATCGTTATACAGTAAATTAAAATGGGAGGGAAAAGATTATAGTGGCGTATTCATTATTTCAGCCATATTTTATATACCAAGAATCTCATCCAAAGTTTGAGTGGTTCTTAAGATTTGTTGATGGTTGTTGTGGGGCGGTGAACATTTTCATTACAATGGGAACCCATCAGCAGAGAGCACAAGAGACCCTGAATTTGAAGACAAGAGACAAGTGGAGAATCAAGCATCGTGAAATTCAGAAAGGCTATGATAGGTTTTGAGAGTGGTCCCTGTTGTATTTGTAGGCAGTAATGCGACAAGAAAGTGGTTCTGTTCTTGTGGGAGGTACGACCAAATCTGAAGTTGGTGTGCATGCACCTTGGAGCAGAAACAGAGAACCGAAAGTGAGGCCCTTAGGCCCATAGGACCCTTAGGCCCATTTCATTAACAATTGAAGAAAATGAAAGCGTGAATCCCATACTTTAATGTGTGGAGGTGATGCGCCAAGTGTCTAGAAGGAAGCACACGTGTGGAGATTGGGGACAGTGAAGCTAGCTGTATCCAGACTTTCAAACAGCATGAGTAAGTGCTTCGTCACCTTCTCGGGACTTCAACCTTTTAACCCTCTTCCACGCAACATAAAAAAAGTTACTTACTCTACACTTCAACAACGTCATAAGTGCTATTAATGCTCCTACTTTTTAATACCAATACATTTTAACCTAACTTTACACCTGCTTTTAACACCACACTTATACTAGTATTTTTATCAAGGTCTTTTTAGCACATTACTGGTAAAAGTTAAACATCATAGAAAATTAACAGTCATATAAAAAAATTTAACATTTATAAATATTTATTAATCAATAACTTAACTTAAAGTTTATGTTTATACACTGATAAAAATAATTGATTATACTAATTTTGTTGAATTTTTAAAAAATATTATCGTTCTATCAAATTTAAGTATATTATAACAGTCTCATTACTATTTACTGTTAAAAAATATATGGACGTAATATTTAATAGAAACTAATAAAATTTTAAAAGATATAATTTTTTGTTTAGTGTCGTATATTGTTAACATTCCATCTATATTAAATCTTGATAAAACTTACGTACAGTGAATGACTTGTAGTTTTCTGTAATCATTTTTTTATGTGCACGTGATAAAAACAACGTGCACCATTTGTGAAGGACCTGGCCTGAGGTAGATTCGAAGATGAAGACCTCCAATGCAGTCCCCAGTAGATAGTGCTTCCAAAAACCCTCAAGATTATGGATGTGAAATTGGAAAGTGTGGCCATTCAGAGAAAAAGGTCATAGTTTTTTTCTGCTCAAACAACCCCATTGCTTCATCATCATTAATACATGGCCAATGGAGCACCTTTCGTCCAGTTACTTACCAATCACCTCTCGCACGATTTCCCAGCTGTTCCACCAACTTTTCTCCCTAACAAGTTCTATTTTTAGATGCAGGTAGAGTGGAGAACTAAACCTCCTGGTTTATGATGGGAAAATATGTTATAATTGGAGAAATATTCATTAAATGTTCAATGATTAGGATTGTTTGTAATTTACACACGGAACATCAAGCATTTCATACATTAATTAAATGGATAAACATTCAAACCTAGAATCCGTGGTGGATGACATGGATAGACAAAGAATCTCTCATATTACCCTGTCCAAACTCAAAGCAGCAATGGTCCCCTACTTGGAAGAGATGGCCAAAACTGAATTAAAAGAAATTATCCAAACAGTTCCTTGGGTTATTTACATGCCTCGTTGCTCACAGCTGGAATTTTGGACAGGTTCCTTCTTCTCATGTTATCACCGTTCATCAGCAACTCCCTCATAAACTACCATTCAAGAAATTTCAAAAGTACATCAACTCCAGGATGCATATATATTATTCTGAATCATTTATGTTTTACTTACAATTTTTACACTACAATTCCTCAGCTATATGGAGAGTTTTGAGAGAAACGGTGTACAACTTTCCTATTAAGTAGACACACAAGCGCATGGCCCAAAAGCCCGCCTTATTTCAATTTACAGAAGGCCCGACCCGTGTGACAGAAACGGGGAGGGAATCCAGTGTGCGGAGTGCAGGGTGCGCTAGTTTTTGTCGCGATTCAGTCTCTCCCAAAGCGACGCGCAATGCCTCTTGGCGAATCCCACGCGCTGCTCTTCCAAGTCATACGCAACCTCAAATCCTTGCTGCTGGTAATTCCCCAGTGTGGCCCCGGGCCCACCGCTCAACTCAGCCTCATTTCCACCGTTCATCAGCATCAAACACCCCACCCTCCTCTTCCCCTTCGTCTCATCGCTTCCGTCCAAAAACTCGTAAAAATAATTCTTCCTAGGCAGCACCACACTGGAATTGCCTCCAGCAAAACGCAGCGTCACAGCCGGCACTTCCGCCGCCGCGTTCAAATAATAGCACGGCGCGAGACCAGTTTTTTCCTCAATCTTACGCGCGCGCTGGTTGACTCGCCCGACTCGGTGATCAAACTCGTCCACCACCGAGCTATAAAACCCCGCCGGTAACATCGTGAACGTCGTGCCGGAATCCACAACCACTCCACCATCTCCTTTATTGTTCACCCGTCGCAGCATCTCCGGCGCTGGAATAGTCCTTTTCCCGACGGAGATTCCGATTAAGCCAACGGTATAAAAATAAGGATGCTTAGGGTTTTCAAGCATAGGCGTGTACACGAACTCAACCATTCCACTGCCACTGATCTTCTCCTTTTCCTTGTAACGGCCGAGAATGAGTGGACTCGGTTTTCGCACTCGCTCCGAGTCAAACGAATGAGAAACAAGGCAGTACGAAAAGTGGTTTCCGAGTTGAGGAGAGAGTGTGGCTAGCTGCGCCGGGAGAGAGAGCAAACCGCGGCCGAATCCGGCGACACCCGTTGGTTCGGCGAGGGCTGTGTGAGCGCAACCGAAAGTGAAGTTTGTGAGAGACAGCGAAGAAATAGAGAGCGTGTCCTGATATATACGCGCGATTAAGCTTCCATCGCCGTATGCGTAGTAAAACGGTGGACACTTGAAATTGGAGCAATCAGAGGTTTCAATAGATTCAAGAGGGCAACGAGCCATAGCGCAGAGATCGGAAGAGGAGGCTAAGTTGTGCGCTGCGGAGCATGCGGGGGACTTGCAAGAAACGGCGACGCTTCGGGTGATGTTGGTTGGGGGCGAGGCGTTGGTCTCGTTAGGCTTTCCCTCGCAGAGAATGCATTTGAAGGGGGCGCAGGGGAACCAGACTAAGTCACTGCCGGTGTCCATGTAGAGGGTTATGGGCTGGCCCTGGGGGCCCAGATTGAATGAGAGAGTGTAGTCGCTGCCCGGGGAGAGGGGGAGAGAGAGTTGGCGGCGGAAGCGGGCGGCGGAACGGGCGGAGGTGGATTTCAAGAGGTGGTGGGTGGTGTTGAATTGAGCTTGGGAAAGAGTGTGTGTAAGTGGCAAGAGTAGCATCTGGAATGAGGGATGTGAAATACATAGTATCATGAACAAAATCAACAACAACATAGTGGAAGTCATTAGTTCATGTGCATGCGCCAAAACAGAGTATTGAGTTGTTTCAAGTTAGAGGCTGAGGGAAAAGAGAGTTTTTGAATTTGTTGAGAGACAGTGAGCACCAAGGAAGAAGTGGAATAGAGGAAGGGTTTATAAAGGGGAGAGTGACAGCGAGGCACTGGACACCAAGTTACCACTGCGGCGGTAGTCATGGCGGGCGCATTTAGGACACTCTTATGTTAACAAGAGTAACTTCATTACATTTTCAATATTTAAATCAAATATGTTGTTAAATCTTTTTTGTTTTTCTCCCAAAAAGTTTTTTTTTTTCGTACATGGGACACTCTTAAAAATATGGAACACCACGCTTATTTTGAAATATTAGAGTACTATTTAATCTTTGAAAGTAATTACTGTTACCATAATTTAATAACGGTTACAGTGAGTGTAACACGCAAAAGCTTTGGTGGTTTCGGGTTAACACTTGTTGGGACTCATATATACTTTGGCTCTTTCTCAGATATTGTCCTCAAATCAGGGTTAAGAAGATAATCCAAGTGTTGGTGTTTATCTTGAATACTTATTTTAGCAGAAGTTGCAGAATGAACCAATATTTTTGTTAGATATGGTTTTTTTTTTTTAAATAAAAAGATGAGTCATTCCTAGTAAAAAGTTTTGACAAAGCAATTAGTGCAATTGTAGCCCTGTGGAGCTGGATTTTAAAAAGTCAGAACCTCTTAAAATGAAAGTTGCTAGGAAGATGGTTGACCCATGAAAAACTTTGAAGGTAAAGAAAAATCCCAGCTAATTTGTAAGGCAGGCTCCACGTGCGGTAATCAAATCGGTATTTGTAGAATTTTGATAATTTAAGGATGAGTTAAAAGTCAACAAATAATTTAATATCTTCAGATATTAAGTATAATTTCATTTATAAGAATGATAATCGTAAGTAGGTGTATAAAAAATAAAAAATAAAAAATTAAATTAACAAAAGTGATAAATAAGGACCTTTTGAAAAAGAAAATTTTTAAAAAGAGTTGATTAAGAATGATGTTATAAATAAAAATATTTTCAAAAATATAATTTTTAAAAAGAAATAATTAAAAATAAAATTAAATATTTTTTATTATAAATTTTAGGAATAAATAGTTTAAAATTTAATTAGAACTATTTAATAAATAATATCTTTTAAATTTTAAACCACATTATAAATTTTTTTTCTAAGTAATTCTTGTTAGTCACCTACTGTAAATAAACTTATAAACTTAATATATTCATTATAATTTGTTTTATGTATAAGAATTAATATGAAGTCATATTTGAAAATTATTTCTAAGATTGATATATTATTCTTTTATGTTATTTATTTAATGTCTTTTAATTTATTTATTTTTTAAATATTTTATATACTAACTTCATTTTAGACTTTTTTTCTTTTATTATTGAATTCAATTCAATAAAATAAGAAAAAAAAATACTGATTATTATTTTTCAAATCCAATTACTTTCCTTAATTTTTTATTTTAGATATTGTAATATTTTATACGAGAATAGATAAAATTAATAACAAAACATTAAAACTATAAAGTGATATTTAACATTCATCCTTTTTTTTTGTACACTTTTTTTTATTTCTTCAATTCTTTCCATTATAGCGAGTTGTTTCACGATGTTTTACAATAATTATTTATTTACAATAAAAGTTATATTTACTAATTTACGGGTTATTTACATGTTAATTCCAAGATTCTAATATGTTAATATAATACAATATATGTTGTGTTGTAAAAAATTGAACAAGAAATTATTAAAAGATAATTATTTTTATTAAAAATTGAATTATATTATAAAAGATATTTTTTGATAGAAATTTTAAATATATTTTCTATAAATTTATAATTTGAATATTTAAAGTTGGATAATTTTAAATTAAAAAATTATAAATTTTTATATTATTTTTTGATTTTTGTTAACTTCATTTTGAATAAGACATTGTATTAGATTAGTTGAGATTGAACATTGTCACTTTACATCATTTTTTTATTAACATGATATTTTTTTTTTTTTACTAACAGAAAAGTATAATTCTTTTGTGAAAGTCGTAAGATCATCTTATCAATATTGAGGAAATTACTTAGCGACATATAAGTTAAAAAAAAAAAATTGAAAGTTTTGATAGATTTTTTTAATATTTTTAAGGTTATTTATCTATCAATATAATTCATAATTGTTTTTCTGATCACAGTTAGTTAAATTTTCTCAATTAATGTAGAGATTATTTTCATTGGAAGTAAATGATTTTTTTAATTGAAATTTATCATATGATTATTTTTTGTTAGTGTATATTATCAACCTTTGACTGAATTATTTTTTCAAATGTTACTTTTTTTTCACTTGACATTAGTAAATAAGTTCACAAAAAACTTCGTCCAAATATTTTTTTAAGTAAAAGTAGATTTAATATTTTTATTGTACTTTTTTTTATAATTTTTTATATTGAGTCTTTATATGTTTTTATATATTTCTATAATTATATATATTATTTTTAATTTAAAGAAATGGTTTTTTTTTTTACTTATCAAATTTAGAATGTAACGTCATCATCAACTTATTAATTTAAATTGTGTCGTCCTCTCTTTTTTTTTATCAAAATTTTCATTCACATTTTTGTATCAAAATCTTAAAAAAAAACTTCAACGAATGTCTATTAAAATGTTTTAATAATTGATATTTATAAATTATTAAATATCGTTTAATATGATATTTATGAACTATTAACTATCTTTTAACGTTAAAATAAATTTTATATTCAGTATTAATTAAAATATTTTATCTAAATAAATAAATTAAAATTTAATCAATTTAAATTATTTTATCCACACAAAATATTTAAAACATGAAATATTTTCATACTAAATTAATTTAAATTTAATGTATTCAATTTTTTTAGAAATTATAAAATTTTCCATCAAAATATTTGTTACATGAAATTTTCATCTTAAATCATTTAAACTAAAGGATATTACAAGAAACTATGTTGAGATTTTATTTTACTTGGTTTTACTATGCTAAATATTTTTTAACAACTCTTACAAGATTTTGTAATTTTTTATTCATATTTCAAATTTTGCAATTAAAAAAATAATTTAATTATTCCAATTAAATATTAATTTAATGATAATATTTTAAATCTATATTGATATTAAAAATTTATTTTATTTTTAAAACATAGATGTTATACTTTATAAGACGCTTGTTAGAGTTGTCATTTGCACAAGTCTCATACCAAATAATGGCTACTAACTTTCCTGGTTGTGTCCTTTTAGAATCTTGCATAGTAACAATTTTAAGTCAAACTAATTTGTCTCACAGCATTGCAAGAAAGAAAAAGGGTTTGGGTTTTCCTTGCCAACATTCCTTGTGACAGGTTTCACTAAAGTTCAAGTGAATATATATAATTTGGATAATTTGCTTTCTTTGTAGTAGTTCAAAACACTAATTGTCATTTATATTTGTTATTATTAATATGGTCAACAATGTGACAAAAGTATGAGATTATTTGCCTCCTAAAAACAAAGTGAAAGTCATATATGGTCTGTTGACTCTATACCTAAGTGATGGAACACCAATCCTACGAAGTACTATGTGCTGTCTGGTTCTGTATAAAGCTATTATATAATTATATTATAATGCTTCCATAAGTTGTAAGATGATGTGACAGAAAAATAGAAAGAAAATGATTCGTGAATAATTAAACTGTCATCAGACTAAATATAAGATGTTTTAACTACTAAACTTCATTATGGATACCATCTATGTTCATGATTCTTATGTTCGACCCACCCCGATAATCCAAGTCATCAAATCACTCCAAGTTCTTTACGTCCTACATATATTAAATTGTGTGGACCAAATCTTTTGTGTTGACACATTCATCTTTCTTTTGCATATGAAAGTTATTAGGTCAGATATAAGATGTCTTAACTACTAATTATCATCACATTATGCAGCATATATTTTTACTTCAACTGTGGAATTTGACAACAGTAGTCCCTTTTTGTTTGCAGCATTAATGCACTCTTTCCTGTGAAACCATGAACATAAAATGTTCATTACTGCCCTCTTTCTTGTGAATCCAAAAACTGTCGTACGTATGCGTCCTACTTCCAATCTTTTTTGTGGGGATGCTCGTGAGATTTTGGTGCTAAAAGGTTTGTTTAATTGCCATTCCACTGCAAAATATCCAAGTACATGTTCTACCAAAAACAGAAGCATTGAATAGGGGACCAAATCCAAGCCCACCAATGCATCATCTATGGACACTTTGCACCCAATTATCAAATTAATTCATTGTCCTACAAAGTCTTAACTGGCCACTGAAAAAAGAAATCTTCGAGACAGATTTGTTGTGAGATGAAGAGTCTTTCCACCCCCACCACCTATAAATGAGCAAGTCATATCAACAATCTTCTACATAAAAAAAAGTTCACATGTACTTTCAAATTCAACAACCTTGTATTGTATTCAGACTTGTAAGTTTTCATACACTGTATCTTGTTGCTTACAAAAACACATCTTCTTGGCAATCCACACAGCACTCTAAGCATGACCAATAAGTTGTCCTCTAAATCTGACTAAAGAGGTGAAAGTAATTCAGGTTTGTTTGCTTTGCTGTTAATTACAACCATATAAATTCTATTGATTGCTATCTGTAGTCCCACACATCAACGTCTGCTGCAAGATATTATCCAATACTTTTTCTTTTCTGTCTTTTTCCCAAGTGCCAAAGATTTCATTCACTGTAGTGCCTCTCGTAGTGTCTATGTAGTTTTCCTACCAGCTAGGATTCTGCTATGTAAAATAATTCTGAACTCAATTATTGTATTCTTTACCAGAAAGGGAACACTATATCAACAAAATCACCAACTTAGCGTCATAGTGACCGATGCAATGTTGGACATCCCATTATCCCATGTTTTTGTTATTTGCATTCATTATTGTGAAAACTAAGGCTGCATTTTGAT